TGTATGTTTTGTGTTAACATTTTACACAAGCACCTTCTCTCTGTTAGAAGTGTGCAATTAACCTGCAGCCATGTGATCACTGTACGTCTCCCTCCCCCCCTTTTCCTCCCCCTTCTGACTCCACTGTCTCCAGCCTTCAGCCCTTAGCCGCCAGCTCGGCAGCGCTTAATGTAGTGAGGGCTGCCTTGTTAAAAGCACAAGGGCCCATATCACTGTATGGAGTCTCATTAAAGTTTCAAGCAAAGCGCCATGTTTTATTTAATCAATTATGAGGTTATCCACAGAAAGAGGCTTGGCGGCCTTTCTGGGTTCGGCGTTTCCTTCTCTTGAAACCACCAAAGCCGTTATCTACAGGATGGTGCTGCTGAGTGACTGGGACAACGTATGAACATTTGAAACATCCTGGCAGCTATTTCCACTCTGTTCCTCTGTGTTTCAGATAATTTAATGGGACAGAAAGTGCTAAACTCACAAATGAACTAATGCACAAAATCTTAACATAGTGTCTATATATGTATACAAGTTATGTATGCTGAAATATATGTATGCAGAGAATATACTTGCAATACATAAAATATGATGACATTTGTTTTTGATATGTATTTGTATGTAATTCAGTTCAGTTGGTAAATGTGTTAATCTTATATACAATGTGCATTTGGTTAATTTTTTATTTTTGTCTGATTAAGCCATTAATACTCTCTCTCCCTCTCTTTTCTTCTTTCCACAGACATTTATAGTACTAAATTCAGGGAAGACAATCTTCCGTTTTAGTGCCACATCTGCCTTGTACTTCATAAATCCTTTAAACCCGTTTAGGCGAGTAGCTATTAAAATTTTGATACATTCATATCCTTTGAAATGGTGTCTTAACAGCAGAGACAAAAGAGTTTCGTGTTCAGTATTCATGATATGTTCTGTCGTTCTGTCGTTCTGCTATTGGTGTTGTCTGTGACTGTAACTTCTGGAGGGGATAGATACAACTGCTGTATGGATGGAAACTAATAGCATGTCATTATAGAAAATAGCATACAGGAAGCCATTTTATTATTGGAATTGAAGGCTAGCACAAATGATCCTTATCAGTAAACCAGGCGGGACCTCCTTAACATCCTATTAGGATTTAGCACTGTGCCATCCATCACTGTACCCAGACCAGGTATTTGGAGGTCTTACCTGTTCTTATAAAAAGAGAGAGCTGTCAAGTTACTCAAGAGGTGGAAGGAGGTCTGTTTTAGAAAACAAGCTGCTGCTGATTGAAGCAGGATTTCCATAAAGTGGTTCAAGTATTGATTTACCTCATCGTCAAACCATTACAACAGGCTGCTCAGACACAAGTATAAAAGAGCCCTCCCCCGACTAAACCCTGCATTAATATGGGATACAAATGTCAGCCCCATGTAAAACAATTTAGGTAAATCTATTATTAAGAGCGAATTTTGTTTCTCCATATTATTAAATGTTAAAAATTCTCTTTAGCTCTAATGTTTGATAACTAAAAAGTTTTGTATTTCCACTATAAATGTACCATATCAATATTTCATTGGTGCGAGCACACCAAACAACCTCCTCTTAAGTGCTATAAGTAGGTCTCATGACATTAACAGTTTACAAAGAGGGCTCTTAAGCTTCAATGGACCACAGCAATCACATTAATACATACTTAAGCTACTGGCAATGTATTTCATTGTGTTTTACTTCTAAAACAAGGTTTATAATGTTGTTGTTTGCCTGTTTTATTCATATTTTCCTTAACTTGACCCTCACTCTTTTCAGCATGATCATTATGTTTACTATTTTGACCAACTGTATATTCATGACCTTTAGTGATCCTCCCGAGTGGTCAAAACAAGTAGAGTAAGTACCCATTTATTATATTTGCTCAATTGTATGAATGCATGATAACTGCTAGCCCCAGTTTGTTCCCCTGTAATCTTACATTGTAGCACAGAGCTGAACATCCAATTTGACGTGAAGAAATACTAAATGATCTTTGAAAAACCCAGAAGATACAAACTGGATTTGCCAAATACTATCTCTAGAGAAACTGTTATAATTGTCTGTGATATACACGTGTTAATTAAAAATGATACACCTGACAATTTACCTTACTCTAGCATCCCAAATGTATCCTGTGCCCGACGCTCCACTTTTTCATTACTTGCATGTGTCATCCGCTAATAGTGCAGAGAAGTGAGTGAGCTTTGATGCAGCCTGCTGAACTGATTCTGTCAACACGTTTTCCTTTCAGGTACACATTCACAGGAATTTATACATTTGAGTCTCTTGTAAAAATCTGCGCACGTGGATTCTGTATAGACGGGTTTACATTCCTCAGAGACCCATGGAACTGGTTGGATTTCATGGTCATTTCGATGGCGTAAGTATTTCTCTTATCATTATTATTATTAGTATTATGTTATTCTGACTTTCACTTGATGATGAAATGAAGTTACAGTATGTGAACACATATTTGCATTGTTTTGTTAAAGAGGGTGGGTTAAGAAAGTGAGTGTTCAGTGCTACGGACGATTGCTCATCCTTCTGTCATTTCTTACTCTCTGTCTGATGATAACTCATCTTCTGTGTTTTCTCCATTGATCCGAGACCTCTCTGGTCTTTCTCTTTGGGAGTTTAAGGTTTCCATCCGACACTCTGCGGCCTCCCTAATAACAACAGACCCCAGTCCCTTTCTTAGGATTTATCTTCCTCCTGTCATCTCACTCTCCCTCTCATTCACCTTTTCTCTTTCAGTCTGCAACATTCAATTTAAGGCCCCCGTCTACTGTTCATCACCCCCTATTTCTACTACAGATTTACCTGCCTCTACATTACCTCATTCATAAATACCCATTAATGATAAGCACCATGCAAATTACATCTTCATTGTTTGTAGAGCGGTCACATATGTGTCAACTTACCTTCCCACCTCATACTTTCATGTAAATAACGAGCTGTTGTTACTGTGGTTTGATCCTGCAGGTATATAACAGAGTTTGTAAACCTAGGCAATGTCTCAGCTCTGCGCACGTTCAGGGTGTTGAGGGCATTGAAAACTATTTCTGTTATTCCAGGTAAGACAGGATGGGGCGGGTGATGGTTGGGCGGGGTTGGTGTTAGGTGTGTGTGTCTTTCTTTCCTTTACCTTCCACCCTTCTCCTCAGTGGACAGGCTCTGTGAGTGGCGTCGTTTCCTCCTGGTTCGGTGGTGTTGTGCTCTTGGCGTTTGTGGTTATTGTCATCGTGTTTGTTCTGTGTGTGATCCTTCCCCTGTTTCAGATATATAACAGAGTTTGTGGACCTGGGCAATGTATCTGCGCTGAGAACATTCAGAGTTCTCCGAGCATTGAAAACTATCTCAGTCATTCCAGGTGAGACTCAGTTTAAACACTAAGGCTGATCCTCTCACCCTTTCTTTTCTACTCACTATTATTATGATTACAATTATGATTTAAGCAACAACTAAATAATTGGAGACAACCATTTTTTGATTTATTTTTCCTCCAAAATTATCAAAAATGGTACTAATACATTTTTGATAGGCTTTGCAGTCTCCTCTAGTGTCTGCACTCTCTTCTGCCCCAGTAGCATTCTCATTACGAGGCTTGTCTCCAAAGCAGCTGATGTGATTCCCTTCAGAAATAGTTTTAACCCACTCCGCTCTTACCAGCTTTAGAAAAAACCCTGCTCTGTTAAAAAGTAAATTATTGATAGAGTATTCTCACTTGAGGTTGAAAACCAGGTCATTATACATGGTATATTAATCAGCTAAGAAAAGATCATGGCTTTTCAAATTTCCCAAAAATGTCTAGTTATTCTATTACAGAAGTGCAAGGAAAATTAAAACATCAATCATAGTTTGTCACATTTTTATAACTAGTGATTGAATTGGATATAAAGGATTCCATGTTTTTGGGATCAAAAACAAACTTTGTATGTTCATTTGAGAATTAGCTCTTAGGGAGATCCCACAGAATTCACCGATTATTTATGTCTGAAGACTGCCAAGCCTAGTTTGTGAACATATCTCTTATGCTGCATGATGCTTTTCAGTCACTTGCTTTTACAATACTAGCCTACTAAGAGCTTTGCTGACAAATGGCATTGAAAGTTTGATTTGCCTTATTTCGTTTTTAGTTTGATTATTGATTTTCTTTCCTCTCTCTTTTTTACAACCTCATTGAATGATATACCACACCGAAAAAAGAGACGTTGTGCTTACATTTTAGAGGTTGGGCACACAGATGGGATGGTCGAATGACCTCTTGACCTTTTTTGAGTGACACTGACCACACATCCATCTATCTTTTGATAGAGGATGTGGAACAGATGTCGTGTTTACTCAAAAGAACTGCTGTGAATGGCTTTTTTAAAACCGCATATTCATTTGGAAATATGAAAAAGGAAATCCTGCAAGTGCAAACAAAAAGGGATGATTTGGATTGAAATTGTATTTAAAGGAATAGTTCAACATGTGCAAAATGAAATATGCTTACTAATTTTCTGGCAGATAGATGAAAAATATTGATACCTCTCTCATGTCTAATTGGTTAATATGAAGCTACAGCACATAGCTGTTTAGCTTAGCTTACCACAAAGTGTGAAACCAGAGGGAACAGTTAACCTTTTTTTAACATTTAGTTATGAATACCTATTTTGTTTGATTTTTGCTTGACTAAAGCGCCAAATGTCAGTTTACAAGGGGTTACATGCTGGTCCATTTCTTGGCACCAAGCCATTGGGGGGGGGGGCTCCAGAAATGTACTGGTCCACCTGTAAAACGTAGAACTGTTGTTTTTACACTTTAGTCATTGTAAAGGTTAAACAAACAAAATATAGCTTGTTAATAATTGAGCTTAAGGTGCTGATGGGTGGATTTTCATACCTTTTGGCTTAGCCAAGCTTACTGTTACAGTCCAGTCTTTGTGCTAAGCTAAGCTAACCAGCTGCTGGCTGTATCTTTATATTCAAACAGCTGGACATCAATATCAGTATCAATCCTCTCATCAAACTCTGTGCCAGAAATTGAATAAGCGTATTTCTCAAAATGTCGAACTATCCCTTTAATAATAATGAATGAAGGCCTGTAGCACTGGAGTGGGGAAAATGTAGCTCTTATAGTGTTGGTTTAGTTTAGCTGAAAACAATCAAAGTGCAGTTGAGGGCATGATTTCGGAAGATGAAGATATTTTTTACCATACCCTACCTAAACTGAAATTGAAATAGTTTCTTAATGAGACTTAATGAGATAATTGTTAGACACTGCAAAGTAATTGGAGTTTTTAGTAAGATGTGTTAGCCTACATTTAGAGCATATTTAACAAACAGTGTATACAGCTGGTAAAGCCCACTGTACCTGTAGAGAACAAACAGAAAAGACGGTGCTGGTCATCCTGCTTCCATGTTTGAGGTCCTTGTGGACTCATGTGAACGCTGCCAGAGGATGCCTGCTCAAGAAGGTAAACAGCTTTTATCTTTAGTGAAGGTGTGGATGAGACAGACTGCAGGGTCAAGGTATGGGGATTCAGTGCTTTCCTGTTGACACCTTATACATACAGTTCAAGAAAGTGCCCACTCTGGCACTGACATTGAATTGCTCCTGTTCAGCCTTGGAGTTTAAATGACCTGCATGTGGTTTCCAGCCCCTTGCCTGTGCCTCTGTCCTTCTCATGGCCCCTCTTTGTGCTGCTGTGCTCTCCTTATGGATTTCCTCTCACTTTTCTACAGTCTTCTCCCTCTTATTCACTTTGTCCATCATTGGCAATGAAATACAAATTCCTCCCATTCAAAAACAGTCTCTCTGATATTTGATTTGACTTTTGAAAAAAATTGATGTCTGGATTAATCTGAAAAGAGTGGGAATGCTCCTAAATATTTCCTGTTTGTTTTGTTTCTAGAGATGTTATGTATGTCATCTGTCAAAGTGTATTACTAGCTAGATCTTAAAAAACAAATCTTGTGTATTTATTTGAATAAATAAAACCCCTTTTTGTTGGATGTTTAGCACAGAAAATCAATGCAATATATATTAACTGTTAGATGTATTATAACATTTTTAATTGAGTAATTTAGTAACAAGATATTCATTAAATAGTTAAAAACAATTGAATATTAAAGTACAGTCTTGCCACTCCCGGCTTTCGACCTTAATCTAGTCAAAAGCGTGATATTTCACAATAAATAAAAAGGATCTAAAAGGATTACTAGATTAGCAGTATTAGTTTAAAAAACAGAACATTTGCAATAGAAGTAGATTCTCCAAATATTGATATCTGGGGCGCTTCTTCTCCTGCATCAGCTGTTTGTTTTGCTTACTTGTGTGTAAGGCCTGAAGACCATTGTGGGCGCCCTGATCCAGTCTGTGAAGAAGCTTTCGGATGTGATGATCCTGACCGTCTTCTGCCTGAGCGTCTTTGCCCTCATCGGTCTCCAGCTCTTCATGGGAAACCTGCGCCACAAGTGTGTGTTCTGGCCAATCAACATGACCAAGAGCTTCGATTGGACGGATTACATCCTGAATGATAGTGAGTAGAGGCTAGGCTTCACCAACGGTGAGCTGGCAGCAATCTAGGGGTATGAGTAAGCCCATATGCTACAACGACCAAACAATATGTCCTTTTGGCTGGTGATAGAACAAACAAAAATGATTGTAAATGAAACTGCACATAATTGTACATATTGTATGTATGAGCAGAAATTTGAATAGATATACAGACCATTTCAGACTAAACGACTGTAGCCGCGAAGGTATGCTAGAAAAACGACTCATTATGCCTTTTTGTTTTTGCTTCAGCCAACTACTACTTCCTGCCTGGCCAGTTGGACGCTCTTCTCTGTGGGAACAGCTCCGACTCTGGGTGAGTTGCCTTCTCTGCCCTTCTCTGAATGTTGCTGGTCCTCACAGAGACCTGCTGTAGTTTCTTTATCTGCCTTAAAGGTCACCTATTATGCAAAATCCACATTTTCATGTCTTTTATAAAGAAACATGTGTCCCCTCTGTGTAAAGAGATTCTGACAGTTTCAGGAAAAAATATTCGCTCACTTTTTGTCCTGATCCATTTATATGAAAACCTGTCTGAAAATGAGCTTTTGGCAACTTTATGATGTCATAATGTTTTTTTGGCTTGTGTAACCATTAGCTAATGATCAACCAAGGTAACCCCCCCCCGCCCACCTTATCACCTGAATCTCCTCCTAGAGCACCATTGTGTTCTTCTTAACCAAATATCTCTCAGAGGGGAGTGGGGAGTGGCTCCTTATTTTCATCTAAAGTAAAAGACAGAGAATCAGCACTTTTTAAACAGGGCTGAAACAGAGGGGATTATGGGATGCTTCAATAGAGTGCCACAGTGACGCGTCCTAAAACCCGGAAGTAAACTCCTTCTGCTTCCTTCGACAAAAAACAATTGCAATTTCTAGGACGCGTCACTGTGGCACTCTATTGGTGATCTGTTTGGTATTTAGAGCCAAACACTTCAGAGCATGTTTTGTATATATCTGAGACCTATAATATATTGATGAAAAACAGTATAATAGGGGAAGTCAGATTACATTATTAAATATACAGTGCTGACAAAAAATGTGGGCCGCGTGCCCCTCTCTCTCTTCCTCTCTCATTCTCTCTCTTTTCTCTCCCTCCGCCTCTCAGCCGCTGCCCGGAGGGCTTCACATGCTTGAAAGCTGGGAGGAATCCAAACTACGGCTACACCAGCTTTGACAGCTTCGGCTGGGCCTTCCTGGCTCTCTTCCGCCTCATGACACAGGACTTCTGGGAAAACCTTTACATGCTGGTAAAGCTGATTTGTCAACGAGTTCAGCTTGTAACATAGGCTACAGCATATACAACACATACAACTTATCAAATATTACTTTCTAGAAACAGTAAAATAACATAGTGCTGCCACAATAATTAGTCCCTTCATTAATTGGTTATCATTCTTATTGCGTCAGTGCAGCCCTGTTGGAAGCAGATATCCTTTGAGACTTTGGTGCCCCTGCAGTGGAGCCTGAAACAAGCTGAGCTTCTCCACTGTTTCCTCGTTCTAGTGTGTTGTAACTCCACCTTTCAGACAGAAAATGGCGGATCATCCTGCCTTGATTCCCACTGTGACTAGGCTCATCTGCATACTGTAGCCAGGCCACTTCTTTCCTGTCTGTCAGCCTGTCCCACACAGAGCCTGTGGAGACACTCCTCCCTCCACAGGCGGAGGCTGAGTGGAAGGAAGGAGGCATGAAATATGAACGGCTCAGGATTACAGTATGGCCAAGAGGGAGATGAGATCTGATGGGAGCATTGCAGCTCATACTTCTATTTTTGCTCCCATCTTTGAAATTCAGCTTCTAGTTACAGGCTCGCACTGCTATTGTGTCCTGTGTCCTGAGATTAATGATAATGCAGCTTTGTTTAGAAAGGATGTTGAATTTTTACCTGTCAGATGTTCAGAAATGAAATGAAATTGATGTGTCAGAGCCGAGATCTTACTGTTCATACTTTAACCTGCCCACATGAGATTAGGTGATGTGTGGGACTAAAAGACAATGATTTGGACGGCTAATCGGTCTGTGCTTCTCGTTAGAAATGTTAAGTTTGTATTCACTTTCCAGAACTACATGTCAACAACATTCATAATTAATTTGTAATGGTATTTCACTTCTCTATCATAGGAGGCCCTGATGACAATAGTCTGTCTTTTTTAAAAGGACCAAAAGAGGTTATTTAGTGAGAACATAACTTTCAAATTTGAGGTCCTTCTGCCTCTTGAATACCTATGGGGAATAAAACAAAATAAGAAATACCCTTTCAAATGAAGGATGACACTATGTTCTAAAAAAACAAATTCAAGATAAACCCCAAATAGTCTCATTTGTTCTGCTGTGCCTCTGAAGCTCAGGCTCCTCACTTCCTGTCTCCACGGGGGATAGCATCCCCTCCCATTTGAATACATAGTTTGGCTGTGTGCTGGTTGATTGAGTGTGCAGAGAAAGTAGGTCAAAATGCATATCTCATGACTCTCCCAGATGAAACCTTGGGCTCATGCTGAGAACCGGGTATGAGATTATCCCTGTATATCTATTCATCAATGAATGAGATGATGGTAGAACTGATTTGAGCATGTTGGTACCTCTTCAGACATTTACATTTTTTTTGCAATTCAGCCTTTCCCCCACAAACAGCTGACTGTTTATTTCTGATGAGTCACTGTCAGAGATGTGAGCCTGACTCTTGATGTTATGTATCAGATGTCGTGATGTCTCTCCCCCCCTCACCTCTGCTGCGCTGCCTCCCCACAGACGCTGAGGGCGGCAGGGAAGACCTACATGCTCTTCTTTGTGCTGGTGATCTTTGTGGGCTCGTTCTACTTGGTGAATCTGATCTTGGCTGTGGTGGCCATGGCTTACGAGGAGCAGAACCAGGCCACCATGGAAGAGGCTATTCGGAAGGAGGAGGAATTCAAGGCCATGCTGGATCAGCTCAAGAGACATCAGGAAGACGTCCAGGTCAGCCCTCCGCACGGACGGAGCACCACATTATTCCTTCCTAATGTTGTATGATTGTTCTGACTTCCTTCGTGTGTTTTTTTTGCAGATGGCTGCCATGGCAACCTCTGCGGGGACAGTGTCAGAGGACGCGGTAGAGGACGATGGAGGAGGGCGTCTGTCATGCAGTTCCTCTGAGATGTCAAAGCTCAGCTCCAAGAGTGCAAAAGAGCGGCGCAATCGTAAGAAGAAGTGGCGGCAGAAAGAGCAGGACAAGGAGAAAGGCGACAGCGAGAAGTTTGTCAAGTCAGAGTCGGATGACGGCAGCAAGAGGAGCCGATTCCGGTTCCCTGATAATCGCCTCGGTCGAAAGTCTTCCATTATGAACCAGGTGAGGAGAATAAGTATTAATGGCTGGATGCGTTTTGATAATCCTCCAATTTAGCAGAATTTAAAGGGGTAGATTTGCATTTCTGTGTCTGACTTTTTTGTCAATATGATAAGAGAGGTTCATGGATTCTCTTGAATCACTCTGACATTTTTGTGGAGGAACAACTTTTTAGTTTTTTAAAGGTCCCATGTCATGGCCATTTCTACTGATCATAATTCCACTGTTGAGGTATACTAAAATAGATTTATACTGTGCAATTTTCCAAAATCACATTGGTTTCTCATACAGCATCTCTGTATAGTATGTGTATTCACTCTCTGTCCTAAACGGCTTGTTGGAGCTCCGCCCCCCCCCCCCCCCTGAGCCCAGTGTGCTCTGATTGGTCGGGACGTTGCGAGGCTCGTTGCTGCGAGGAGCGGACAGGTTTCCGGGTCAGCGATACAGCGAGACACAGCGAAACTCATCCTGAGTACACACAAACACTCACAACCGAAGTAAAAACAATAAGTGTGGCTTGATATTGAGTCAGAAAAAGGTTTCTAATGCTATGAGAATGGGTCTGCAGAGAGCATTTCTCCGCCATCCCAACCCGTCTATTACCAGCGTTCAGGGAGCTCTATGGGACTCCCTGTTAGTTAGCCAAGGGGTCCTGGTGTGTGAGGTGCTCCGCCAATCCGGTCATGTG